GAGCAGCCGGGGGGTCCGTCCCGCAGCGCCCGGCGAAGCCGCCGTCTGCTCCTGGAGTCACCACGGCTCTGGTGTCCAAGTGCTCTCCCTCCTGGCGTCTCCAGTGCTCTCCCAGTCTCAAACCGGGAGCGCGGGTAGGACCGTCACCTCGTAGGTCCTGAGGGCCGGACAGCCGGTGGACGCGCACTGGCGGGGGCGGCTGTCCCTTTTTCTTCCCCTGCTCTGAAGAGGGCGTGAGCCCTTCAGACCACCACCCGTCCGACCCACCGGGGTTGTAGCTGTTCGGAAGTGCCTTGGGGAAGAAGCCTTTCGTACAGCGTAGCTTGGGCCGGGCAAAGTGGCTGGCGTTGGAGATGCGTTGTGTGGAGAAAAGCAAATGTAAAAACAAAATCGGGAAGTTGGTTGTCTGTTTGAGGGGGCTTTCTGCGATAGGCTGCTCTTCCAAAAAGTTAAAATGCTGTGAAGTTTTAGATGACTTTTTTCGTTTTGCCTATGTTTCCATTAAAATGCTGTGAAGCATTGAAGCCAGGGTAAAATGCTAATGATAAGTGCATGGCTCTGGGAAGCCCTGTTCTTCGGCCCAGCTAGGCAAAAATTTAAGGCCCAAATACTTTCTTGGAGCTTGGTTGATTCTGCTCTTGCTCTGATGGGAAGGGTATTACCGAGGTGCTTGAACATGTGATCTTTTTAGAGAGCCAAAAGAGAAAGAGGCGGCGTGTGTTCCACAATGTCAAGTGGGAAAGCTTATCCTGTAGTGGCAATGGATAATGCTTTAGTCTTGTGTGTTTTGCCCTTTTAAAAAAAAAAAAAAATTAAGGGTAAGTATGGTCTTATCCTACACTTAAGAGTCTTGAGTGTGAACTGGGGCTTCACTGTGCTGGGTGAAAACACAGCATTTGCAGACATAAAATAGTGGCAGCATTTCACAAGTGAAATAAGAAGCTGTGTTAGAGATCTCGGAAGAATACTATGGACTTTGGAGGGTGGGATAAGGAGTAGGAAGAAGAGAGTAAATGCCTTTTACTTTGAATATCTTTTTTCTTTTCCTGTTTTTGGAATTTTTCTTATTCTAAACCACACCCAAATAACACTTCAGAGCTGAGGTTAGAGAGTAGGGTAGTGTTAAGAGAAAGTAAGTGGGTGTGGGTTGGCAAAAGACGAGGCAAGTGCTTCTAGAATAATTAATGTTTTATTATAGCCTAAGTCACCCAATGGCTTCAAGTATGTGACGTTTCACTTAGTTACAGCGTTAAGATGACAAAGCTGTCCTGATTTTTGACCCAAGGTTTATAGCGCTTGGGATGCTGTCTGCCAGCCAGAATGTCTAATAGCAACAGAGTGTTCATACTGTCTGTCTTCAGGCAGGCACTAGTCAAGCTTTTTTTTATCCGAAATATCTTTATCTCTATATCTATATATAGATATATAAATACCTTTATTTTTAAAACAAATGTTGACTCGGCAGGGTGCACAATTGACATTTGAAAAAATACTTTAACTATAATACAGAAATGGTGTTGTAACATTTTTTTGCAAGTTCACTCACAACTATGGTTATGACTTCAAGTTAATTAAATGATTCATGGCCCTTTTTATAGAATAAGAGTATTTGCCTTAATACTAGCGTGTCAAATTGCATTTGACTATTTTGTTACCTCAACTGAGTGTAACATTTATCTCCTGTATTACTATAAGCAGTGACTGGAGATAGTAGGAGCTAATGTTTTTGTTGAGGCTTATTTTGTTAAATCCCCTGACATGAAAGAGACAGCTTTTCATGTCAGCTTAAGCATGAGGAACTCCTCGGATCTTTTTTGGTGAAAGAGATGCTGGACTTTATTTGAAACTTGGAATTAAACTTAGTGAAATTGCTGTTCTGTCTCTCTCTTAAAAATTAAAAGACTGGGGTATCTGCATCTGATAAAGTTGAATGGTTTCGGATTACCGTCTGTTATTGAGCATCTGTATGTTTCTTATTGTATCTGCCTGTCAACTGTGTAGCAGTCTAAGGCATTGCTTTTACAAAAGAAATGTTATTTCCCTTTCTATGAGTTGGCCAGAGTTTTCAAAATGGAGCACTATCTGTCTAACAGATCTGGAGTCCCCACACCTACCTGCCTTGTTGAGATGGTTTCCTCCCATGGTGGAGCGCGTAGTGTATCTGTCCTCAGAGCTGAAGGTGTTGAGATAAGCTTGACCAATTCCTTCTAGACTTATATGTAGAAAGTAACCAAACAAAGCATATTCACTTTAAACTCACCCCTCCAAGCACAGATTGAAGATGAAAGCTCCTCTTTTTTCCACTAGTAAGGAAGTCTGGATTATAAAGATAGTGTATGGGAAGGAAAGGAAGGAAAACATGCTTATGTTTTATGCTTCCATGATGGTAGCTTTTAGCCTCCTAATGTTGCTCTTCCAAGTTTTCTAAACAAGAAATACGAACATCCTTAATACTGACGTTGGTGTTGGTCCTAAAGTTACTTAATATGTTATGGCTCTATGTAAGTGGTCTTAACTTCTCAGTGTACTTTTCAAACAAATATCAAGAGAAATATACCCTTAAAAATGGAAGTGATTTACACACACTAGGTACATGTGTGTAGAGAATAAGCAGAATATTTTTGGTTTCCTGACTTGCTAGAAGGTTAATAAGCATAGCAATGTGTATGTAACTTGTTTGGAAAGTATGGCAATCACTTAAAGTTTACTTATTTGAGTTGAAATTGAGTAATGTGGTAACCTTGGAATGGTGAAGCAAAAGAAATTAAAGCAATGTGAAATTAAAACAATGTCAGTTCTGCTTCTGGGGCAGAAGCTGGACCAAATAATGGGAGGAGAAGACAAGGCTCCTAGAATAATAATAATATCCTCCTCCAGCTCCAAAGTTCATTTTCAAAAGCAGTAATAAATGTGTTAACGGAGTTAGCAAAAAATTATATGTATTGAGTCTGGGGCGCTCTCAGCAAGATGCTGAAATGCATCTTCTCTCCTACTTGAACTGTGCAGAGAAAAGTGTGCTTCAAATAAAAACTATGGGTCACCAAGACAAGTTAGGGACAGCGTTTTCAATAGCATCATATTGTTAAGGATTAGCTGGTTAGTGTGAGTTAGTTTGATAGTTTCCATCATCATTTATCTATATTTAGAAATTGCTAATGGATTTATATGTATTTATTTAAATAAAACTACAAAGTGGTATAACTCTTTTTCTCTCTCCCCTGTTCCCAGAGTTGGTTCCTTCAATTATGAGTAACATGCTGAATCCGGATGCTATTTTTTCAAACAATGAAATGAGCCTGTCAGACATTGAGATTTATGGTTTTGATTATGACTACACATTGGTCTTTTATTCTAAACATCTGCACACGCTGATCTTCAATGCTGCTCGAGATCTTCTTATTAATGAGCATCGGGTAAGTAAAATTAATGGAATAACAATGAACTTACGAATAAAGAGTATAATAAATAATTTCTAACTGAGAGGAGCATAACTCATCTTTTCATGCCTCAGTCCTAGCTTGGCTCCCTTATAACACATTTTGTACAATGGCTACATATGAACCACAGAAGTCCTAGTTTATTCTCAGCTGCAGTTTTGAGCAGAGTGCAATCTGACAACTGTTAAGGAATAGAGTTTTATTTGTTTTATTTTTCAATTTGGTGGTGGTGGGGTGGTGTTTTTGGGTTTTCCTGATTGTCAATTATTGGAGTTACTCTAATAGATAAGAGGCTTAAGAGTTACTGTTACTGTGTTGTATGCATTGCTGTGAGTGCAGTGATCAATTTCCATGTGGAATATTTTTAGCCTGACTTCTTATGAGGTCTTTGATTGCGCTGTGTGCTTGCGAGGTGCTCTGTATGTGCCTGGCGTTTCAGCTGAGTTAGCTGAAGGGGCAGCGTGTGTAGTGACACTGTAATCAGAGGCTGGATACAAGAGACACCCAAGTTAAGTGTTCAGCTCAGTAGTCCCCTAAGAGCGAGCACTGCCCTGTCGCCTTACCAAGCAGCGTGTTTGCATCAGTGGCCAGTTGACATCCAAGCAACTTGGAGCTGGGTGTTGCGTAGTTTGGGGATGGGAGAAGTTACTGTGTGTCCGAAAGCTGGGGGGCAGATGGGTGACTTGGGAAACTGAAGGTATTGCGGGGAAAAAGATTGAAGAAGACGTGGACTGAAAGAGGCAAAGTTTATTGAACTGTAGGACTTGCAGGAAAATAAAAGACAAAAAGCCCACAGAGTAACTTTATTAATAAAACTGCTTGTGTATTTTATATAGCCTAAATCTGAATGGGTGGTGTTACTCTACTTTCATATTTGAATCTAAAGGTTAGGAGCTATATATAAAAAAATCTATAAATATCCCTGGAAGAACAAACAAAACTTCATGGGCGCTACAAGCATATACAACTTGATCCCCCTAAGATTTTGGCATGTCTTGTTAGCAATTTCTGTAGAATGTGTAAATACACTTTAATAAAGCTACCTGGCTCTTGCAAAATCAACATTACCATAGGAGTCAAGATTAATTCTTGTAGACAATAATTAAACCGGTGATCTGTCTTTACTATTTGAATGAATTCAAGCAGTAATAACTTTCCAGTTTGTCTCAATTAAAATATCTTGAGTTCTAATAAATGAAGCTGTAATTACTTTTTGAGACAACTTATTGAAATATATCCTCTCCTGTTGGAATTTGTTGGGGGACAACAGTTTTTATTAATGCTATCTCTGTAGCTGCTTATACTGTTAATGTTTTTCTTGCCTTTAACATTTGAAAAAGCTTCTAGATAGTATTGCCCATTATGACTGTCATAGTTAACCTAAAAGATGGCCAGTTTTGGTTGTGGCAGTGTAAGGTAATTAATCAGAAATTGCAAAATACAGTGTAGGAAGCAAGGAATTTTGAAGTGTGTCCAAGAGAATAAACATCAATTTAATGCTAATCTTGGAGGTGGCAGCAGGTGTTGAATGTAAACTCTTGCTCTTGGGTTTCTTTCTTTCCTAATGTACAGGCCTTGCGCCACCTTATCTGGACTGTTGTTTCAGTCCAGATATATCTATCCCTACCAAGAGTGGGGTAAGCAAACAGTGTAATTTTTATCATTATTTTGTTTGGCTTGTAAGGAAGCTTTGATTTGTGTGCCGAGATAGGCTCAATCTTTTTCTCATACGTACTGGCATGCATGCAAAAAGACAGCCTTCTAGCAGAATAAATTGAAGTAGGAAAGTCAAGCATGCAGAAATTTGAAAAAGTCAGAAATAAATTTCCTTGTTCATGCTTGATGTGGCTGCTTTGAGGCATGCGTGGTACATGGTAGTTTTTAATTAATCACATTCTGTATCAGTCCCTGATGTTTTCCCTTGTCTCCTTTTCTGCTTTATGTTCCCTGGCCAAATCTATACATCTTCCCAACGCATCTGTAGGCTTTTGGTGCTGTTCTTCATTCGGATCAGTAGCCTCCCCCATGTTTTCTGGAAGTGGTGGTAGGGATGATAGTTCAGAAGTTAGGAGAAAAGACTATTTTCTTTAACTGTAGATGCCTGTGCTCAATACAAGTACAATCTACAGCAGTTGCAGAGCAAGTCCTCTTCAGCATAGATAAAAACTTTGTGGAGAAATTGCGATTTATTTATTTTTTTGTAAGAATAGCTAGAGCCTCTGCTGAAGCTGTGTAATCTACTTTTTTCCCCTGAAGGCTTATAAATTAGCCATATACGTATGGAGACTGTTGTTGAGAAGGTGGAGAATGCGCCTGAGATGTCAAATGCGTCTTAGAACTTGACAAATGCAAGTTCTAAGGCTGCTGTAGCCTGTGGGAGGAAAATGAAGGATCACCTTTCAGTTGGTTAATCAAAGAAATGATAGTTTTCTCAGGCCTTGTCAGAAATGACTGAAGCATTTTACCTTTTAAGAACAAATGAACGAAACCCTTAGCCCAAGGCACACACGTAACATTTTTTTTCACGGCTAACCTATGCTTAAAGCAGGACAAAATTATAGTTGACTGAGAATGGGCTTGTACTGAAAAATGTTAGAAAACTCTCTAATAGGTGGTCTGAGCTACCTATGCTATCTATAAGCAACCTGAGGAAAGAATACATGACACAGACATTCAATTCGCGTGCATCTCTAAACACCAAGGTGTTACAAATGCTGTCCAGGGTAAATACAGTTGGGTCACTGTGGTGTTCTCCTGAAGTGACTCACCCTGGTGGTGTTTAATCAACTTAAATGTAACTTGCTTTCAGAATCTGATCTTTGTGATGCACTGTACCTTGGGGAAAGTCCCTGCTACCTGGAGAAGCCAGGGTCCTCTAACATTAGCTGTTGTGAATTCCTCCCTCGCTCCCTCCCTCCTGTGTTTGCAGTGCACTGTATGTTTAAGCACCTCTGGGGTCTACATTTCAAACAGGACAATCTAAGACCAGGAGTATGATCTACACTTAGGGAGTCAAAACAGGTAGCTGTGCTTCTTTCTTGAAAATGCCAGAGACTTTTTTGCTCCTGTTAATATAGATGATATCGTATTGATTTTTCTGTCAATAGAAGTGAGCAGTAAAGTTCAGGTATCTCTGTAAATCAGGCAATATTCTTGGGCTTCTAGCTAGAAGGTTGAGTTAGAAACTGTGTTTGTATAGTCTGTTTCTTGGTGACACTTCACAATGCAAGGCAACCCAGCTATTAAATTTTAGGAAGTTAATAAAATTTAGTTTGTTTTCAAAGGTGCATATGTTAAAATAACTTTTTGAACAAGAGGCTAATGTTCAAAGCTGACCACTACAGAGTACCTGGATGTCCAACTTCAGGTACTGTGCTTGACTTAAATTTAAAATGTTGACCTTGGATTTTGGAAAAACGTTCGACTTGTCTTGCACTGTACATATGTTCCTGCAAATCTCACCAACCTATCAAAAAGCCTCTTTTAATGACTAGTGAAAATGAGAAGCATAGAAAACTTAGCTTTTAAAATTCTGCAGAAACAATTTTTTATTTGTTTTTGTTACGGATTTAAAATCAAATCATTGCTATCTTTTCTTAGTATCCTGCAGAAATAAGAAAATATGATTATGATCCCAATTTTGCAATCAGAGGACTTCATTATGATGTGCACCGGGTATGTATAAATAACTTTGTGATGAGTTATGTAGTGCTGAGAACCTAGCCAAAGAAAATAAATAGGGCTTTTAAGTCGACCAGTGTTAACATGCAAGGATTTTGTTTCATACTTTTTTTTCTCTTTCATGGCAAGCTTGATTTTTTTTTTTTATTTTACTTTTTTTTTTTTATATAGCTCTTAAGTATAAAGTGTTTTGGGTCTTTTGTTCTCATGGTGGGCAGGGGGAGGGAGAAAGACAACTTAGAGTGCAACAGAATAAACCTAAGCAGGCATCTGCTAGTAGGAAAAGATATTTCTTCATGACCTAGCTCAGGTCACTGGACAATGTTTCCTTGGTGATTTGGCAAGCGCTAGGTAAAAGTTATTGATAAAGTATTTTGGAAGCTATGAAGGAAGTTGAAGTGAAGGTGCTCAGGTGTTCTTGAGACAGAAAGATTATAGATAAAGTTGCTTTGATTTGTATAATTTCCTGTCAAATAGTCGATGTGATAAAAACTGATTTTTTTAATCTCCCCCCTCCCCCAAAGGCATTATTAATGAAGATCGATGCTTTTCATTATATTCAGCTGGGAACAGTTTACAGGTAGGTAAAATTATTTCCTATTTATAATAAAAATGTATACTCTTGTATTTTGAATCTCTTAATTGCATTTATTAGTGTACTTCTTAAGTTCATATCAGGAACGGTGCACTGAAAAAAGCACGACATGAATGAATATTGCAGTCTTACTGGAAGGGGGTTTCTCTGCACCTCTGTGTGTACACACAGACATGCGCACATGTTTACTGACTGGTACAGTACAGCTGATTCTCCAGTTCAGAGCTGGGGAAGTTGGCAAGCTGGTTGGTCACATAGTGTTGACTCACTTTGTTTCCGGCTGTTAAATTGTGCTGAAAGACATCTAAAAATACACTGATGACTTCTCCGCTGTTGCTTTCTGTGTAAATAATTGTCACAGAGTGCCTGTTAGAATGACTTTGGTGTGGTTGCAGAGACGCTTGAGAGGTCGTCCTGTATTTGCACAGACGTTTTAAGTTGGGACATATCATTCTGCAAGCATGATGTGGTTGGAGCACAACTGCTTTGTGTCTGCACAGCCTGACCCTTTTTCAGTTGACTGAATTGATGGTGAATTCAGTTGACTGAATTCATTGGTGATCTCTGTGCGTGCTTTGTTACGTGGTATTGACTTACTGTATGTGATCTTTGACAGGACAGTTTTTAGTATGGCTCAGTTTGCTATAATGAAGCAGTACACATTTGACTGACATGAACACCACACTTGGTACCATATTTTAAATTAAACAACAAGCCTGAGCACCTTTCTTAATGTCATTGGACAAAAAGTTTTCTTTTGGGGCCAAAAGATAATGCAACCTTGAAGTGATGCACTATGGGGGCTAGCATGGAACTGTGTATGGTAGTATGAAGTGATGATAATGCGCTCATTACTTCTTTTTGTTTGCCAGGTGGGCAGATAGGTAGATGATTCAGCCTTAGTCATTGATCTGTTCTTTTTTGACTTAGTGTGAGAGGCCCTTTGGGAGAGGGGAAAGGAAGGGAAGAAAAGTGAAAGAGGAAAGAAGATGGCATGGGTCCAGCATTAGGCTCATACTGTCAACGTAGTGGCTGTCTAAAGCTGCCAAAACAATGTGTGCTCTATGTGTATCATCAGAGTCCAAGTGAAACGTCATACCTTTTGTTTTATACAAGCTGATATAGAATAATCATTGTATATTTCAACTGACAAAACCTGTTCCTGTGGTTTTCGAAGGAATCATTTATGCAGGACTAGGAGGGAACCGGGGAACTCAGAGTGAAGGTCGCTGCTTGTAAGATTAATTTAAAAAGGCTGTCATATTTTCACATTTTTCACTGTGAAAAATGCTAGTTTGCTAGATTAAAGGCTAGGTGATGTAATCAAAGGTACATTTATCTGTAGAGGTAGGTAATAGAAATACTAAGATTGGTATGAATGGAAACGTGTATGTGTGAGAATACCAGAAGAAATGTTGATAGAAGGGACAAAAGGGTGGCGTGTGTTGGTGGTACCTGGATCAGTTGGTCACCAAGATATTGTCACATCTGTATGCTTTTTCTCCAAATGGCCTTATGGGGGTGGAAGGAGCAAAAAAGAGGCTGAAGGCTTTGAGAGAAGATGTCAGGAAGAACAATGGTATGACTGGAACTGTATAGTGACCTAGACGAGAAGGCAAATGGGTGGTGAGTCCATCAGCAGTGTTGCTTTGTGACTCAGAGCGGGACAGAATGAAGAGGCAGAAGATCACAGTTGCTGTCACCCTCTAGTACAAAAGGCACATCCAAAGGCAGCATGTGATGACTGATCAAGAAAACTCTAGAGAGGTGTTGAGATTTGTTGAAGAGCTGGCATCCCTTGTTCTCTGCATCACCCAAAGTAATTCTGGACAGACTGCTAGGCCACACGTCTTGGTAATTCTGGACAGACTGCTAGGCCACATGTCTTGGCGCTTCTGAGTGTGTGTGAGGGAGGCAGTGAAAGCTACCATTTCACTCAATGTTTTCTCTTAATTTTGTTTAAAATAAGATTACCTTTCTCTTCTATACCAACACTGAGCTTTGCTGTCAGTTGCTGTGTGTCTGTAGTTCTTAGTTTTAACCTTCCACGTGCTCTGTACGTGTGTAGGACAATTATACCACTGAAAGTAGCAGGACTTGCCCAAGTGTACAGCCTTATTTGCACTGAGAGGTGTAAGCAATTCTGGTATCCCTCTAACAATGCACATCTCCAAGAGCAGCAATGGGAGCACTGCTGTAGGTGAACTGTGATGCTTTTAGTGCCATCTGTCCATGCTGTGAGTGGAATAAAATAAACTTTGTAGTTATTCAGCTGGACTGTGAACTGTGTCAAGACTATGGGTCTTTTGGTAAAACTAATGTACAGCTTTGCTTACACGGTCGTCGTCTCTCCTCTCTGGATTTCACATGTATCTATTGTCCTCTCCTGATTTGTGCTTAAGTAGCTCCTGATCTACAAGCGTTTTCTTTAGCAGTATTCAGATACCACTTGGCATAGCTGTCTGCAGACTAGAAGATGAGTCAGTCCTTCTTAATTCTGATTGTATTACTTGGTATGTGTTTAACAGTTTGGTTGCATTTCTTTGTGTTTCCTGCTGTGGAGTGGGTGACGATGAACTCTGTATGTTACAAAACCAAATAATCTGCCTTGTTGGTGCACAATACGAACTTGAATGCTGGAGTCCTGCCAGCAGTAGCACAGAGCTATGCCCAAGCCGATGTAGCATTGAGAAGTGCAGTAAAGAAACTAGTTAATGGGGGACTCTGCTACTGTAGCAGCCCTGAGGAAGTTCATGTATCATGCCCTTCTACTGCAAAGCTGGTGTTGGACACTAAACACTGAAAGTGCTAGGCTTATTAATTAATTAATTTATTTATTTTTTAATGTCTCACAACACTTCAGGGTAAGACCCAGAAAGGGAGACACTGGAATAACTGTCTGTCTTACAAGGCTGCAAAGCACCATAAGTAGGCTTGGAAAAAAGGGACCAGATGATCTGGTTTTCATTTGTGTTCTTTAATCTTAAGCAAAACCTCAACACTTCTGTGTCCTCTGCTGAGGATGTTTGCCTGCCTGCAGTGTTTTAGATGCTTTAGTGCAAGATGCTTGATACTGTGAACATTCAAAACCAAAACAAAGCCTTTAATCTCTTAATAGTTGATAAAGAAACTCTGGGGAGAGATGATGTCTCCTTCTCCATTTGTTGTTACATTTTTATACTTTAAATACTTGTCAACGATCCTTCAAGTAATCTTAAATTTTGGGAAACTGAACTGTTGATACAGTTTAAAAGAAATTCTTATTTAGTTAAAGGTTATGTATGTCTGTCTTTCCCTTGAATCTTCAAGGTCATGCTGCAGAATAATCTGGTTTAAACACTATCACATCATCAGTGCTGTATGAAACAAAGGTGGAGTGAGGAATTACTTTGTGTTAAGAAACTGGAAGCTCTAGCTACTTCTTACAAACCCTTGAGGCATAGTTTCAATGGAGACTAATTAGCTCTTTTCCCATAAGACAGTAAAAAGGACTTAAAATTGGAATGTGTTCTGTGTGCGTCAGCCTGTTAAAATGTTACTTGTTCCGTAAGGAAAGATGATGCTGTTTTAACTTAGACTAAAGTGTTGCTATGACATTATTAGTATTTTAATAAGCTCCAGATCTAAGTGTTAGTCTGTCAGACTTCCATCCGGTAATTACTTGAAAATTTTAATCTGACTTTTGAACTAAAGCTGATGTTGTTTTCCAGAGGCCTCAGTGTTGTCCCAGATGAAGAAGTCATTGCAATGTATGATGGTTCCCATGTCCCTTTAGAACAAATGAGTGACTTTTATGGAAAGGTAAAACCACAAACTGCTATTTAAAAATGATTTATTTTTTTGGGGGGTGGGGGTAGCGGTGTCTACATTTTGTTCTTGTTCTTACTAGCAGTTATATTTTCTCAATACACGATTGACTTACAGTGCTAGATGTGAAGTTTGCCCTCTAAAGTGACAAATATCTTTTCTTTCTCCCACTTGCTGTAGTTTCTTCTTTCACTGTCCCTTGCCTAGTCATACAGACAGAGAAGCAGAACATAGAAAAATCAAGTGACTTGCTCAATGTTGCACAGCAAATCTGATAAAGGCTGGGAAATGAACCATATCTGGTACCTTACCCCAGCTATGTACTTCTTCCAGGTGGTCTAATGGCTTAGCTTATGTAGCAGCAAGTAAATGTATGGAGGCATCTCTTGCAATACAAGCTGGCAGAGTGACACTAAGAGGATTTGACAAAAGATGAATGATAAAAGATAAAGCTTTTAAGTTTAGGATTTGACTTTGTGGGGAAAGTTGATCTTCTTGCTGGTAGGTTCCTTCCTCTTTCCCAAACCCCTTTTACTTATGCATCTTAATTCCGTGTTGACGTGAAAGGCCCTTCTTTGTGCTGTGGAGCATTTTGTTGTTCTCGCGCTTGTTCTTATTTTAAGGAGCTGAACTTAGAATTCCCAAATCTGGTCTCTGCAGCAGTTCTGAATATCGCCCTGGCGTTCCCTGTGGGATGCCTTGGTCTCTGCAGGTCTATGCTTTCTTTGATCTTGGAAAGGACAGTGACAGGATAAGAGGCCGTGGGCACAAACTGAAACACAGGCGGCTTCCTCTGAACATCAGGAAACACTTCCTTTCCTGTGAGGGTGACTGAGCACTGGTGTGGGTTGGTTGCCCAGGAAGCTTATGGAGTCTCCATCTTTGGAGATTCAGAAGCCATCTGGACAAGGTCCTGGGCAGCTGGCTTTAGGTGGCCACACTTGAGCAAGGGGGTTGGACAAGATGACCTCCAGAGGTCCCTTCCAACCTCAACCATTCTCTGTTTCTGTGATCTTGACTGGTGTGCTCTTGAGCTTGTTGCTTTACCTCTCTTCTTCTTGAGAAGTACTTGGTTTGTATTTGCTCTTGTATGATGAGATTGTCTACTTTTGTGAAACTTAACTATAGTTACAGCTTTTGCAGACTAGAAATCTTTTCCTCTGTTACTGCATTAGTTATTTTAGATTCTTACAACTTCTTATCACTTTTCAAGAGGGTAAATTGCTTTGTAGTCCTAATCAATGCTCTACTTATTTAAAAAAAACCACAAAACAACAAATAACAACTTTCACCCCCATCACAATATCCAGTGCCTCTTTATAGAAGTGCAGACTTCCAGTGAAGGCTTAAGTCCTTCTCTTGACTTTTACTTGAGTGCTGTCTTTTATTTGTTTATGAATTAAAATACTGCTCTTAAGAGTAATAAGTCATGATTAATTCTTAAAATAAAGCCAACACTTTTGTTGGAGTTATTTTATTGAAAGTCTTAGTTCAAAAAAAAAAAAAACTACAGCAATGTGAACAGTGATGGCAAAAGCTGAATATCTGCACTAAGCTGAAGTGTTTATACTGAATGAATGAATGTTTTAATCTGAGAAATGCCTGACCTTTTTCTTCTTTCTTCTTCCCATCCCTGTAGAGCTCACAAGGAAATACAATGAAGCAATTCATGGATATATTTTCCTTGCCAGAAATGACGCTCCTTTCTTGTGTGAATGAGTATTTTCTGAAAAACAACATAGACTATGAGCCTGTTCATCTGTACAAAGATGTCAAGGTACTAGCTTTGAAGATTTAGGTAAACCTCTACATTTGTGTGTCTTCTCTGTGAGCACTTCAGGGAGCTTCAACCTGTTGCGGCAGCTCCAGTGAAATACCTCAATTTAAGGTTTTGTATAGAGTAATTATTGCTATACAACCATAAAAACATAAGTAAAATGAAGGTAGACCTTGGAAAGGAAACAGGATAATTTGAAATTTGTTTTAAATCTGACATTCTAGGGCTGTTGCTCTTTTTGTAGGTTTGAGGGGTGGATAGGGAGAAGTGAAAAAGCTCTTGTATGTCGATAAAGCTTCTTTTGATTGTTATTAAAGGTATACTTTTCTCACTAGCAGGAGTTGTAAAAGGCTATAGGGAATTCCAGTTTGGAGCTTTCAGCTGTACTGCTCCTGTATCTTCACTAGTATACGATCATTTGCTGTCTCTTCCTTTTGGCGTATCTATTCTGCCTGTTTTCCCTCTCTTCCTCCTCCAAAAAAATCTAGTAATGATGACTAGAGTAATTTGACCCTCTTGATTCCTCAGGATATATCCTGCAGAGGAGATAAGATTATGTCATGGTTATTTAAGAACGGAAGAGGTCATGCCCAAGTTGATGGTATTTGTCTGCACAAGCTTTCCATCCAAAACCTTTTCCTGGCCCCTTGTTGACATGTATTAAACTTGTGTAGTTGTTCAGCATATGTGATGCACCTGAATGTTGAATTTCTCACTTTCTCAAGTAGATCAGATGGGTTTTAAGAAACTTTTGACCTCCAGAGTAATTTTCCCTTCTGCCTATCATTACATAGAGTCAGAAGGCTAGTTCTTGTCGTTTGTGCTGAAGTGTTTGTAGAAACTTCTGTACTGTAATACTCAGCATTACCAACATTTTGGAAGCCCTACAGCGGCATGTTTGAGGATTTTTAGGACATACTCCATGTAAGCACCAAAATGGCAGTACCACTGTCCTAAACAAAGCGGTCTGGTGCAGAGCTGGCTCAGGAGAGCTGCCAAATGCCTTCAGAGTGCCTTATGGGTACTTTGCTTAAGCATTTAGCTTCTTTCATCTGTTCATAACTTTCTCTTTTAAATAGCCAGGGTATTTGTGAGTGATCATAATCTAAAATCTGACTTAAAGTGTGGGTTTTGGTTTTTTTTTTTTTAAGAGGAAAGGAATGTGTTCTGCTCCAAAGGTCACTGGAAATCTGTGGTGACTCTGCTTCTGCAGAGGGCTTTCACCCCACTTCACCCATCTGAGCTCATTTTCACAGTTGTTATGTAAAACAGCCCCTGTGCTATACAGTTTTGTACTTCTCAAAAATACGAAGTTAGTTTCTTGGAGTACAGGCTTATTCTTTGTCTAGTGGTGACATATGTGTATAAAATGAATATCACATGGCATTTCTGTAAAGTTGAAAGTGTAATTCAGAGAAAGGAATTGTTTTAAAAACAAATTACTACTGCTATGCAGTGAGCAGGGTTTTTATACTTGAAAAGATTTTTCAGTTCTTTAGTGGTCTGTTGCTTTCCTGACAGGATGCAATCAGGGATGTCCACATCAAAGGAATAATGTACAGAGCAATTGAAGCAGATATTGGTAAGTACTATTGAGATCATCTATCAAAGCTTTTTTCACTGATAGTATAATGATCTTTCTGGCTTCCTTATTTAAGATGATAAATTCTAAATTTTAAACCTTGAAAGAGTTATTTCCAGTTGTCTAAGGTGCCTTTGTTAAGTATAACCTCATGTTTGGAACCCTTGGTTGAATGCAGAGAAAATTCTTGTGGAAAAACTTTTTCAATTAATACTGTATTTTCCCCAATCCTCACAGAGACATACATCTGCTATGCCGAACAAACTCGTGCGGTGTTAGCAAAGTTGGCTGATCATGGCAAGAAGATGTTTCTCATCACAAACAGTCCCAGCAGCTTCGTGTAAGGGATCAGTTGTTTGCTGTTCGACTATACATTTTATAGGATGGGGAGGATGAGGTTCTCGAATGTAATTCATTATATTGCATAGATAACTGCACTTCTGTTATGCTTCACTGTTAATACCTCTCCGTCCTTTTTAGGGACAAAGGCATGAAGTTCATAGTTGGCAAGGACTGGAGGGATCTCTTTGATGTGGTCATTGTACAGGCTGATAAGCCAAACTTTTTCAACGATAAGCGAAGGTGGGTATTTAGTCAGTAAAGAATGATTCAAGCAGCTTATTCCATATAAGGCTATAGAGCGTGTTATGAAATATTTTAGTTTGAATGCAATGTAAAATGAAATCATATTTGATGAAATCCTGTTTAAGGTCATTACAGAATGCAGCAATACCCAATTCTGAAGTCCAAATATTTACCATTTCTTACCTAAGAAAGTTCCAGTAGCTATTACAGGTCTACTGGACTGAGTTAGGGTCACAGAAGCTGTTTTTAACATCTTAGCTTGTAAGTTGAAGTGTGTTCCTTTCCTAATAAATGTGAGAAATTTTGGTGCCTTTCAGAATCAGCCCCCTATCTGGAAATGTCTTTCACTGCTTCTGGTTTTGTTTAGTCATACGTGATATTTAAAGGGCAGACTGGCTGACAGACTGGAGTATTTGGACTAGTTGTTCAATTAAGTAAACACATTTATAATGCATATGCACTACTCTTACACTTGAAAAAGACCTATTCCTTTATGTGCACTTATGATTTGAAAGTGAGATAGAGGGAGGTGGGATTTTTTTCCCTTTACTATTTTTAATTTAATTTTAAAAAGAATTTTGCTGTATGTCTTGCCCCCAGTCCTCTGCCCCCTGCTTCTTCAGTTGTTCAGTTGTACAAAATGAGGTATTGGGCAAAACTTTTACACCTCTTCACTTCTTTTGTGTTCTCTTCTCTCCTTCTTAGTGGCTGGCAACTCACAGTTTCTTCCCTTCTGTCTGGGACCCCTGCCTTAGTTCTTAACAGTTCTCAAACTCCGTTATAAACATCATAGGTATACTGGATAGATACATTGCATTTCAGTAGCTAAAGCTGAAGTTTTGGAGCTTTGCTTTTTCTGTCTATTACAAAATGTAATAGAGATGCTAGAGAGCATGTATTCCTTTTGAAAGGTGAATATTTTTAATATTAAAATTTTAATCTCCTCCTAAAAAGTGACAGAATTTCTACAGCCATTTAACAATTGTATATAATTTTATTCTAGACCATTTCGGAAGGTGAATGAAAGGGGAGTGTTGCTTTGGGACAAAATTCACAAGCTGCAGAAAGGTCAGATTTACAAACAGGTATGCTTTCAATAAACTCTTTCAGTTCAAATTTAATACCTATTTCCTAGAATCCCAAGCTTCTTTAAACATCATAAAGGCTTCTAAAAAGTAGATATGTTTAAGACAGTTGTTCTAATGATTGAAGTGGTACAAATTCATTGTTGGTATTGTATGTCTGCAGTTTACTTGCCTCTTGAAGTGATAGCATTACTGAAATTGCCTGTAAAATTTGGGATTCATAATATATAAACTGAGGACAAGATTCTTGATATGAAAATATTTTTAGGGGTGTACTAAATTCCTTTTTCATATCTGTGAAGGCACAAGCTGCATGCCACTACAACGTACATGTCATTGTTTCTGCAGGGTAACTTGTACGAATTTCTGAAGCTTACTGGCTGGAGGGGCTCTAAGGTTCTCTACTTTGGTGATCACATTTACAGTGACTTGGCAGTAAGTAGTTTACTTTTACAAAATAGGAAAAAAGATGAGGCTTTTTGTTTTCCTCTCTTCCTCCCCAGTTATTCAAAATAACACACTTTCATTTGAGATTTCCAAATACAACAAAATTTGAGTTGTTAGTTAAGCCATATTGCTTTTCTTGCAGGGAAGAAAATTGGTGCCGTAAAAGGCTGACCGTGTTTTCCACCTGACTTGTAGCATTTAACTTGTTTACCAACTGCGCTCAGGAACCTGTGAGTTTATGTTCCTGATCCAGATACTGATTGTGTCAGATGTAACAGAGAGTGAACACAGACATTTACTACCAAGTGTAATAAGAGCTGAATGAACTTCTGTTTTGAATGCAGGAGAGGCAATCTTCCTGTCACTAATGGTGAACTTTCTTTTTTCCTGAGATCTTGCTATAGTTTGTAGCCCTGCTATTCAGGCATTTTCCTACTACCTTATGAACAAATGTACTGTTAACTGTTACTTTAGTGTAAGTGACCACCACTTAACTCTTTTGTAATTGATTGCATATGAATGCCTGGATATGACTTTCCGCTGCCAAGCAGTGGTAACGCGTTTCAGCAGCAGCAGATGTTAACATTTTTGCCCCAATCTGCTCTTAAAAAGAAAAGTAAGTTCAGGTGCTTCAGAAGGCTGAGGGCCAAAGGAAGGAGGAGGCAGCTCTGTTCTTCTCTGGTGCAGTGGAAGAAAGAGCACAGGTGGCAGCTGCCTTGTCCTGTACTTGTCAGGAGGAGCTTGAATGCCTGGGGGTCCTGATAGGACCCTTCTGTCAGCTGAGTGTATGGGTAAATACCACAAACCCAACACATGGTTTCCTCCAGATACTTCTGACAGCAGCAGAGGTCTCATCTGCAAGAGGAGTTTCCTACTGTTTGTTTTAAACCTAATGAATTAGTGCTTATTTGCAAGTGCTTATGTGTTCTTTATCTCTCTCTCTCTTTAAAAATGTGGGATTTGAAGCTTACTCTGAAATTAAATTCTATTGCCTATTGGAACGGTTAAGTCCCACTGTCTAATATTTCTGCTAATGCATAAGAAGCAATTGAATTAGTGCATCTTTGGAATAAACAATGGTCAAATTCTTCAGTTCTTTTAACTAGTTCTTTTTAAGACTAATACTTGTATTTTGTAATTCTTGGTGAATAGGATTTGACCCTGAAGCACGGCTGGCGCACTGGTGCAATTATTCCAGAGTTACGATCGGAGATTAAAATCATGAACACAGAGAAGTACATTCAAACCATGACCTGGCTGCAAACCTTGACAGGATTACTGGAACACATGCAGGTTTGTTTTGTGTGTGTGTAATCGGCTCTGTATAGCAAAGGGATCCAGCCAAGTTTCTAAATGCTGGACACTGATGTTGCAAGTACTTTCTGTCTCACTGAAGTTCACCAGTTTGACTGTAGATAAATAAATGCAATTATTTGTGTGGCTAGTTAATTAAGAGTTTTACTAAAATCTTGTTCCCTTCCTCCACTTGTCAGCCTGGATTGATTCCTGCTTTCAGTTGTTTAAAATGCATGTGGGTATCTTCTGTATACCGATCTCTGAAGCATTGCTCTTGTGCTGTTAGCTGATAAGGGTTTATTAATGGAAAGGCTCATTTACCAGGGCATCCTTAGTTACCTGTCATCCATACTTTACATTCCAGGTTCACCGTGATCCTGATTCACAAATGATTTTAGAAGAATGGAAGAAGGAAAGGAAGGAAATGAGGTAAGACAGGGGAGATGAATTTGCAATATGCTTCATGGTAGCCAAGTGTTCTATGTGATATCTCCCACAGGTTTCTTCAGAATTTCTATCCCTCCCTGATTTATAGTCCCTGGTAGTTACAAACCTTCTAAAATTATCTGTGTAAAGTAATATTCTACCTGTGCAGCTCTTCTCCCCTCTGACCCTTTGTGCAAATGAACCCCTCTTCTCTGTTCCCCTTTTTTGAAACAGATGTTAGCTTTCTGCATGAAAGGGTAACATCAGATCAAATACTTTTCCTTCTCATCTTAGTTCTCCTGTCCCTCTATGTTCAGCTGTCACCATCGCTACTGATTACACAGCTTAACTGCTGCATGATTTAAAAATGTGTTTCTGTATCAAGACTTAGGTCACTTCTTCAGGTTTTTTTAGATGATTTCTTCAGATTACATACAATACATCTTAGAATATGCAGAAACTGGGCTCTGCACTGGACTGGATTTAGCATCTCATCCCAGAGATAGGTAATACGGCTAAAACTCCTAAAAATCTACTATCATGAAGGAACAATCCCTAAATGCAGGGTGTGCGAAGTGCACAGTTGGCAAGGCCAGCAGCTGTACCACCAGCAACTTTCCCCAGAAATGTGGAAGTAAATGAAATGGGAACGGTAGTTGGCAGTGACTAATAACAGAAGTTAATTCCTAGATGTGTTTAAGCTTTTTGTGTACATTAAGCCAAATCTTTGCGTTTTTTTTTTTTTTAAAGTCTTTTCTTTGGGACAAGTGGATGTTATTAGGATTTAGATGAAGGCAAAAGTCTTCTTTCGCAATCTCTAGAAAGGAAAGCTTGAGATGTCATGTTTCTGAAGTCAGAACCAACTTACCACTGGTTTTAGTGGGAGAAGTGTGAAGCTCTTCTGTTCACTACTGTGATTGCTAGATCTGGGCTACATATGTGCAAAAATTTCTTATGTGGTGCATTTAAGTGGTTTGAAGTGCAATGGCAAGAGAATAACGCATAGAACAGATTATAGGAACTGCTTGCTTCAGGTTCTGGATGCTAGCTGGTAGAGAGATGTGTGCAGGTATGTTCACTTCATTCTCTTTTGGTTTTTTTTGGGGACAGGGAGATGAACAGGAATTTCTTCAACGCACAGTTTGGAAGCTTATTCAGAACTGATGAGAATCCAACTTATTTCCTAAGACGTCTCTCTAGATTTGCGGATATCTACATGGCATCATTGAGTTGTCTCTTGAACTATGAGCCTGATTACACGTTTTATCCAAGAAGGACTCCTTTGCAGCATGAACTTCCTGGCTGGTCAGACCAGCTGTGCACTGGTACATTCAGAATACCTTTCCTACAGGAGACAGTTCAGGTCAAATAAGCACTTGACTTGTTCTCCCTAAAATGGGCAAATACATTTCTTTTTTTTTTTGAATGTACATGTATTTTATTTAAGTCACTTCAAATCTGTTATCTTGATTTAGATGTAATTCATACTTGTTCTTATAAGCATCGTGCCCATTTTCTTCACTCCTGCTCGGAGATGTGAAAACTCCTCTTACACACAGAAGAGATGATGGACTGCCAAAATAGTAGTGGGCTGGGAGGGAGGGCAAATTTGAGGGGAGGGACTGGTGGTGTTCTGGGGTGGTTGTTTTTGTTTGTTCATTGGAAATTTCGATCTGCAGCCTTGTGGTTTACAAAGAAATACCTATACTCTCTGTTCTGGCCCTGATCAGAACTCCAGCTGGAGCCTGTAATGGATCTTGTCACTGAAGAGCTTAAATCCGGTATTAGTAATTCAGTGATACACAGTAGCCAGTTTACGGTGAGACTGAGAGGGATGGTGTACCCATTCTAATTTTCCTTGCTGCCATAGCTAGAGCCTTACCTGTAACTGAACTAACTGCTGCATAGTGTTGGTGTGGCTCTGCTGCACCGCAGTGATTACAGCACGGGCGGGCTCAGGCTGATGGGGGCTTTTTCTCCTGTCTGTGCAGTTTCTGTTCTTGCAATGTCTGTGCTTGGCTGTAGGTGAACCTGAGCCTAAAACCGCAAGTGGCGGTAACTTGGGCTGCTTCAGCTTCCTTTTTGTTAATTTTTAGGCACCTTTCTCTTCAAGTTTTAAAACACTTTAAATATCCACTCTCTGATAATAGAGCCATTTCAAGAGGTCGTGCATTTTGCATTTCAAAGTGGAGACAGATCTCCGTTAGGCTTTAGATTGAGCCTAAATGCTGCTTTTTAAAATTTTAACAGTGTCTTACAGTGGTATGCAATGTGATTTTGCTGTTCCCTAAGAGAGAATGTATTTCATATAGCCTTCAGTAATGGACTTTTACAGTCAAAAGTAAACACGCACAATGGGCAAATGAGTTGAAAAATTAAGAAACGAGAAAACGAAAACCAGAGTTTTCTGACATTTTTTTTAGCTCAAGCTCTCAAAGCTGAATTGGAGGTGGTGGGCAGTTTGCATCAATCAAAATAACTTTGGCGGTGCAGATCAGAAGTTTTATTGAATTACTGAAATTATAGGTAATGCATGAACACAAACTCTGGGTAGCATATATGTTCCAAAGATTTGAGCTGAAAAATGTTTATTTTGCACAAGGAAAACGTCTGTTGATGTGTTTCCTCAAACAGGCACTTTATAGAACTGCTATATAGTTGTTTTTTAAAAAGGATGCTTTCCTTTCTCTGCATCCAAAGGAAATGTTTTTTTTTTTAACTGGTGCTTCCCACCCCAGCCATTTTGGAAGGCATAATATGATTAATATTTTTCAAATTCTAGTTATTAAAGGCTCTGTTTTTAAAAGTGTGTAATTAACAAAATATATAGCATTTGGTATTCTTCACTTCATTTGGGGATATCACTTGCTTCCTACCATGATTGTCAGGTAAACAAACTTTTGGTGACCAAAAGTTTTCTTGTTTGTTTTTTTTAACCTGTCTGTATTATGTGCAAATACCTGTATTGAATTTCATATGCAGTTATCTTTCATATTTTTAAAAGCATGTTTGCAAAGTAAAGAATGCATTCTAATCTAGCCTGCACAATTTCATAAGCGGTTTTCTTGTATGCTTGAAATCAGTCTGAACTCCTCAGAGGCTATAGATCTTAAGGCTCTGTTTTTAAAAGTGTGTAATTAACAAAATATATAGCATTTGGTATTCTTCACTTCATTTGGGGATATCACTTGCTTCCTACCATGATTGTCAGGTAAACAAACTTTTGGTGACCAAAAGTTTTCTTGTTTGTTTTTTTTAACCTGTCTGTATTATGTGCAAATACCTGTATTGAATTTCATATGCAGTTATCTTTCATATTTTTAAAAGCATGTTTGCAAAGTAAAGAATGCATTCTAATCTAGCCTGCACAATTTCATAAGCGGTTTTCTTGTATGCTTGAAATCAGTCTGAACTCCTCAGAGGCGGTTATAGATCTTATGTTTGTGGTTTTCTTGTGCTCCTGTTACAAACTTGATGTGCAACGCTCCTGAAGTGTGTGTGTGTATTTAAACAGATGAATATACTTGAAACAAGTAAGTTCATCTGACAGTTCTGCTGTTTTGCTGGAAGAAAAAGATAAAGTTTTGCAGGAAGTTAGTTTGGCTTTATCAGGAGATTTGGTGGTGGGGCTGTGCGAGAAATATTTGGCATAACTTGATAATGAAATGTGGGGATGGAAATATCCCTGATTTGCCTTCAGTTCTTAATCCTAATGCTCAGCTAAAACCGAACTTGGTGTTACATGTGTGTAGCACCTCTCATGCTCCAGAGGTTTCAGTGCACTGTTTAAAAAAACCAAACAAACCCAAACCACTGTACAGTCTTCATCTTACTACCAGCAAATAATAGTATTATGTTATTCAGTTCTGCGTTACTGAATTTGGTACTTTTTTGTTGGTTATAGCTGTCTGATGTTTCTTCTTTTAAAGCTGGCTAGGAGTCAGTTTGTTTGCCTAATTTTCCTGTGTTAAGCAGGAACAGTTTAATTGGGTTGGGTGATGTTATCCACATAATACACATCTTGTTTCAAGATTATTTCCTCCTCCCCCCCATCCTTTCTCTTAACTAACAAATCAGACTTCTCTACAAAGCTATGTTACAAAAGCCAGCTGAAGTAAAATCTTGTTTATATTGCATGACTTCTTGAAATAAACAACATTGCATGGAGAAAAAAAACACATTATGTGGAAGGGTTATGTTCCTTTAAAACAACCCAACAATATAGAATATGAAATTAAGTGAGAATTTTAACGTGTATTATTTATTTTTCAGTGCTAGAATGCTCTTATTTAACTTTTAAAAATGACTTGCATTTTTATAACCATTTCGGAGAACTTGAGCTCTACACCTCAATGCTCTCTGCATTACTTTTTTTAACCTTGTTATGTTACTGACTTCAAAGAGGTTTTTTTGAGTGTGTTTGAAGGGCAGTGTCTCTTTACATTTGTTTTGGGAGTATAGCTTATTTGAACACCAAAGCGAGAAGAAATTTTCTTTCTGTTCTATCAAAAACTCTGAAGGGAATAGTCTGTCAGTGAAAGAAGAGTTTAATGAACTGTGGAAACTTTTTTGTGATTAAAAATATTTAATGATTATTACAAAAATAAATGCTTGGACTTTATCTTCTGGTCCCTACGAGCCTTAATATTTTGGGTGACTGGGGAGAAGGAAAGAACATGAGTTGTATTGATTGCAAAACTCTGTGGGGAAAATCCCCTAAATATGTGTGCATGTTTAAGTGTGTTCTAAATTTTTTAATATCTTCTAGGTAAAAACAAGCAGGCATGTGTAGGGGGGCAAGGGAAGGAGTTAGGGAAATTACTTCAGTCCGTCTCTTTCATCCAGGCTTATTTACACATTAGATTCCCTTGGTGTTGTGCTTGACTGCTGCATCAAGAACCCTGGATTTGCCTGCATACCTTGTTCTGATAGGAGGCATCCTGGGGTTGCTCCCAGAGGTAACTAATGCTTTCTTGCAGTGACACCTTGCCTCCTGCCCACCACATGTGGTAGACACCAGGAGGTATATCATCGGGGAACGTTACTGCTGCCAGCAAGAAAATCTTCCTTTTCTTGCTGTTTTGTGGTTTCTATCGTGTTCTCACAATTTGCTATGATTATTAATGTTTTGAAGGAAGGAAACGACAGCGAATCAAACTGAAGTTTGATTCACTTCTAATAGTATGGTGAAAATTGCAGCTGTTACTGCTGTGCATCGGTTGAAAGGCAATGTTAACGTGCTTGGTAAAATTACGGTATGTGAACAAGCCGGTAGCTTCTGCTCCTCGCAGACCCAAAAATCTGAATGTGGACATGAGATGGCAAGTACATTATCTTCATTGTCTGCTTTTCACAAAAATAGCTCAAGTAACAATTGATTACTCTTCGAATACCCTTGTATCACATATATTTCTTGCTAAAGCTGCTACAAGTACTATTTCCCTTTGTACAGTGAGGTGAGATGTAAACAAAACACAGTCAAGTTGGAGGAAAGACAGAAAAGCTAGAGTGGGCAAGCAGGGTAGGCAGAATGGTTGCGTTTTTCGCTGCTGAAATTCTTACAAGAAAGTTTACTAGCAAAAAATCTCCTTAGTTTAAAAATACAGGTTTAACACGTGTTCTGTTTCACACTTGCCAGTTGTAGTCGTAACTGAGCCAAAATGAAATCGTAGAGCTGGAGTACTAGCAAATTTAGGATATTTGCAAGTTAGCAGTGTGTTTGAGGCTGTTTTAAAGTCTGTGAAGAAGAATAAAAGCAGTTATATAGACTAGTGAAAGTCATCTACTTTTCACTGAGAAGTGTCTGTTTGCTTCTGGGTAGGTTAGTTGAGACTCGGTTTTGCATTTGGCACTCTTAGTTGATATTGCTCAGATACAGCCACCGCTTCTGAGGTTGGTAACTCTGTGAACTCTATAGACTGCATCTTAAACAAAGCTGTGCTCCTTCAGTTTTTAATTTGTAACAAGATTTTATTCCCCGAAATGTGTAGGTGCTGTTTTTTCCACAGTAAGTGTAAATAGAAATGTGTTTTATAATTGACTAATGCCAAATTCAGTCTTTAATTCTGATCATGAGGACCACTCATCACAAGCTGCTGGTCATCTGAATCCTATAAAATAGAAGAAAAAGAAAAATCAGACTTGAACATTGCATTAAGAAATGAAAGTCACTTTTTGGCAAATTTGTCCATACAGATGGCAGAGGTTGCACCTGACACTTTTGCACTAAACAAGTCTTTTTACTGGATGCAGAAAGGTTTATTTTGATTTTTAGACTCTGCATGTACATGAGGGTCTTGCTAAATTGGACCATTGAGGCCAGTCAGATATTCTAGCTTTACTCAATCTTTCCTCCCCTTGTTTACCAGCCCCCTCCCCGTTGCATTTCAGATTCTTTGCAGAGTGCTGGCGTGACACTCAGCTGCGTTTGCAGCGAAGAGAAGGGAAGACAAAATTGGAAGGCTTTTTAAGTTTGTATAGACACGTCGCTGGCATCGAGTAGCGTTTGAAGTCCCGTTTAATTCAGCTCTCTTTGAAGGTAGACTTGAGATACAGCTGTAGACCACAGACCCAATTTGTAGCAGTGGTGAGACAGGAAAGCCAGGAACTTGAATGGTGTTTTCCTGAATTAATTTTTCCTTTTTTGCGACTAGACGTCTTCCTTTCATAAAGTCATTCCCTCTTACCATGATTTTAGTTGTGTCTCAATCTCAAATCAAAATGAACACTTACTGAGAAAGGATCATAAGAAGGTTCTGGTGGAGTCAGTGCAGAAGAACTTTCATATGAGGGGTTGGTGATATTTGAAGGCTGTGACTTGTCCAGTGATGTTACGTCAGTGTCATCTTTTAACTACATAAAATCACACAAACCTGCTTAAAATCCATCCTCCTCCTAACAGTGCATTAAGTGGGACACTTAAGCTTCGCTACCGACTGGTGCAGCGTTGTGACTGAACGGGCTTTATCAGTGTCTCCGGGCATGAACTGTGTCCTAGGTTGTTGTATTATCTCAGGTCACTTCACGCTGGAACCTTTTTTCTCTCCCTTACTATTTTAACGCTTCAGCAAAGAATGGGAGAGGGAGTGTTGCCCTGGCATTGTGCCTGGGATAAAAGGTACCTGGTTGGTCCTGAGCACTCTCTTAAATTGCAACTACATAAAAATACAAGCATTTCCCCTGGCTCATGGCTCCTGTTTTTGTTTCTAGAAGACGATTCACATTATGCAGGGTCTAGAATAGGAAGGGATTTCTGGTTACTTCTAGGTAGACTTCCTTTTGGATTGATTTTTGTGTATTTTGTAACACTTTTTTGTCATCCCTGGTCTCTGAGTAGCTTGGCTGTTGCTGGCTGGTTTCACATCACCACGATA